TGGGTCTTTCAGCATGATAATGATCCCAAACACACCGCCCGGGCAACGAAGGAGTGGCTTCATAAGAAGCATTTCAAGGTCCTGGAGTGGCCTAGCCAGTCTCCCGATCTCAACCCCATAGAAAATCTTTGGAGGGAGTTGAAAGTCTGTGTTGCCCAGCGACAGCCCCAAAATATCACTGCTCTAGAGGAGATCTGCATGGAGGAATGGGCCAAAATACCAGCAACAGTGTGTGAAAACCTTGTGAAGACTTACAGAAAACGTTTGACCTCTGTCATTGCCAACAAAGGGTATATAACAAAGTATTGAGGTGAATTTTTGTTATTGACCAAATACTTATTTTCCACCATAATTTGCAAATAAAGTCTTTATAAATCAGACAATGTGATTTTCTGGATTTTTTTTTCTTTCTCATTTTGTCTCTCATAGTTGAGGTATACCTAGGATGAAAATTACAGGCCTCTCTCATCTTTTTAAGTGGGAGAACTTGCACAATTGGTGGCTGACTAAATACTTTTTTGCCCCACTGTACATGATTTCAATCAGGTCGTCAGTTTCAATGGATTCCATCGAAAATCAAGATGTTGAGTGTTAATGCATTTGCGTTAGGTATAAATTAAACACCCCCAGGTCGATCATAAAAAATACTATATTGTGAGGGGAGAAATGGTTGGCATTCCGGCTAATCATTGCCTGGTTTATCACCACTGAACATAGTCTGGGTTTACAGATGTGGTGTCAATTACAGTAAAACAAACATTCCTGATGAGAGTTAAACCTTTGCTCATCCATGTTAGTCGATTTTTCTTAAACTTTAACTTAATTTAGTAAAGGGGTGTGCTTGTCATTAGGGTTGTGGGTGAGAAATTGTTCCAAAATGAGATTAAAATGTTATTTTAAAAAGCATCTCGGCCTCTAAATAAAAGGTCAGTTAGTCTGCTGATAAGGAATCTATAATATATTGATAAAAGATGGCTCCCTAAATGATTGGTACAGCAACCAGTTTAAATAATGATGTCATCTCACTGCTTTATTCTGTCTTTGTTAACAGATATGTTTAATATACCTAATGTTCAAAGTCAGTATTTTTAATGCTCAATGATATCATTTGAAATGTTGCCACCTCCATCAAGGAGGTTACTTTTGTTTCATTTCGTTTTGTCTCTGTCAACAGGTTTACGAAAAAATACTGGGTCAAGTTTTACAAAACTTGGTGGTTATCAGAAGGGTGGATATATACTATGTGTTATGTTTCACTCAATTTAACATTAGAGATTGGAAGTTTGTTTTGAATGATTCGGAAAACTAGTTCCCGATGTCATAAACAACAAATTGGAAATGGGTCCAATTCTCTCTACAATTTGTTTTTTAATCCATGTTGTTGTACACTACGACTTAAAGCCCACGACTTGTCTAAGACAGAAGTATGTTTTCCCAATTCAAGATGGGGCCATGCTAGAAGATAATGAATGCACCATTTGCCTTGCAGAGTTCCAGCTCTGTCATTTGCTTGTTTACGAACATATGTTGGTATAAGCAAGCTTTAATTTTTGCATTTTATTTGTATTATCACACAGCTATAGTCTAACTAACCCCTTAAACATCTCTTAAATCTTAAGTGATGAAAGTGTATGCCACCACTTTCTGCTATTGGTTATGAGGGTTGTTTTATAAGTTGAACTCTTGACTGTGTTCCTTTTGCTGATGACCAGAAGGAATCACTTTGTGCACGTGATCACTCGAGGGCTCACTGAAGGCACCACGTCCAAGACGAGGTGTTTTTGTGACCTCATACCCAGAAGCAGATCAAATGCAGCCATTTCCCCTCCACTCGTCATGAGACATCAGGGACTGTTTGAAGAGCGCTGCTCTGAATCGGACCAGCGGGGATGGTTATTGAATGTCTACGACATGTCAGATTTGACATTTGGAAGAGCGAGTGGTTGGCATTTCTCTCTGCGCCAGGCCTGGTCCTGGCACTTCATGTATCATGTAGAGCTGCTCGGAGGAAAGGGAGAAAGAGGAAAGTTTACATATTGGCACAGACAGATGAACATCGCTTACTGGAGTGCATATGAGACGGGCTGCTCAATGACAGAGCAAGGCCTCAGCAGTGGCCTTGTTCACTTAAAAAGTTCTGCATAAAAGCTGTTATCTTTGTCAACAATAACTTGTCAGGGTATGAGTTGGCAAAATTGGAGATAACATATCTTGGGATTTAGAAAAACATATCAGATCATATATAGACACTTTACTTTTGTGGCAAAAATACCAGATACATACTACAATGAAAAAACTATCCAAACAATATCAAAAACTTTGTAAAGGACAACAACATATGAATGAAAAATAACTACACCACTTATTACAACATAATGTATCTTCTTTGACAATTGGGGACATATGTCTTATTTGTAAAGCCAACAGTTATAGAGCAACATATTTTATTTGGAGCATTGTTTGTGTCCGCCTGATGAATGCAATTCAAATAATGTAAAAAAAAC